ATGAGATATAGAAATCCAGCTGCTGATACTGCTACCTGTGTTTTGCCTCTATTCTGGCAAATAAGGCAAGGTCTTTAGTTAGCATTAAATTCAACTGAATAGTTTAAAAGACTCCATGACAATTAATTAGCTCAGGATCCATTCCAAATTTATGCAAGCATGAAACAGTTGCACAATGTCTAAGAATGAAGATTCTTGAAACAATAAAAGTAATTTAATCCTGACATTCAAAAAACATGGAATGGGGTGATTCACAAAGACAATTTCCTTAATAGCCCAGTAGCTGTAAACCACTGTAGTCTGTGGATTTGAAATCCAATTTTCTTCTTTTAATTGTTACACAGCTGTAGCAACAGGTCATGTGGTCTTTCTTCTCTTTCCTTCCATGGCCAATAAACCAGAATATATTTAAAGTGATGACTTAAGTGCCATAGGTAACACCCAAGTCACTTGACTGAAACCAGAACCATTGGAAGTTGGAACTGAAAATGGCACTTCTAGTTGTCTTTCTTTTTGTAAAGTTTCCTTTTGGAAGCAGGATCTCAGGCTTTTTATCTTGCACTCTATCTGTACAAATCTGAGTTAGCTGAAAAATTATCATATGCCTATTTTATGTGAATACTTAGATGCCTATTGTCATGTAAAACCATGCTCAATATATAAAAGCTGTATAACATCACAAGGCCATTTCCAGTGGAGATTTTTAATACTGGAAATAACAGACCTTAACAATTATGGCTTTCTATATTATTTTCTCCTTTGAATGACATACAAACATCAAGTGTTTCCTGCAGTTCTGTCCCATCTGGACGCTCTGGTGACTAATGTCTCCTGCATTCAGATGCTGGTCTTTCCATCTCTGGGGGCACTAATAACATCTAGACCCTCTGCACTTAGTTGCCTGGAACTTTTTGATTCTTAATAGCTGACAGATTTATTTTTATCTAATCTGACCAAGATTAGTCTTTCTATTTAAAAAATCACTGTGAGGAGGGCAGGGAAGCAAATCCATTAGTGAATAATTTTTCTTGATATCTTTAAGGGATAAGCCTTAAAACAATGGTGCTAACACTTTACATATTTACATCATTACTCACATCTTTATATCATTACATATGGTGATTGACTTGTGGACCTTCTTTTTTATTCTTGGTGTCTTTGAAAACCTTTCACATTTTCATATTCTGGTGACAACAGGGATCTTTTCTGTTGACTTGCTAGCAAGAAGCTGTGCATTCAACACTTAAGGAATGCAAGCCTGAGAATTTCTTTCTCCTCCTTACTTTTCCTGTACCTAACAGCTTCTTCTGGGAAACCCTTGCTCCAGAGATGTGTCCTATCTGATTACATCAGCATAAACTTCTTGGGCAAGTCAGAAGGGAGCAATCTTTCAGTTAAGTGGTGATTCATGAAGTGATATATTTCCTTGGTGTATGGGGGCTGTGACCTAAATTTTGACATTTTAATTTTTTACTATTCATCTGTTTTACATGTGAAGCTTGTGTATTCAAGTAATTGCTAAACAATGTGGGTTCTGATGTTGTAGAGAAAGGTGGAGTTTTTTTTTCATTAAGTATTGTTTCTGCTCACATAGTAGTTACCAATAGTTCTTGTGATAAGTTCTTTCCAAAATTCTACTGGATATTGATATTCTTGCATGATGTTCCTAAACATGGTTAGCATGTCCTTCTTGTTTGGAAGGTCACCAGCATGAATATAATTTCTAATTTGCATGTGTGATGTGCTGAAGTTAGGGGAAATCTGTGTGATGTTTTGCAACACTCAAGTGTCTTAAAATAAGCCTTTAATATAGCCCTTTAAAATAACTCTTTAAGTATCAATTCAAACTAAAACCATATGCTAGTCTATATTTATAACTGTTTTTCATGAGACCATATGCAGAGAGATATTCTGCTAAAAAATTAACAACAAATATATCTGTGTGCTTAGTTACTGGGGTATTAGAAACAGCATTTTTGGTTTATGTCAGTTTAGCATTTATTCTTACAATCTCTTTTCTGTTTACATGTATTTTTTTTCCACAAAAGGTACCAGTAAAGACAGTGAACACTTTTTTGTTGTTGTTTTTTGTTTTTTGTTTTTTGTTTTTTTTAACTCTGTAAGTAGCCCATGAAGCTTTGGTGAGACAGCCAAATCTTGTATAGAATTTTTGTGAGCCCCTGGTTCAGAAGGTCAGTGCTGAAATTCTACTCCATCTCACAAATGTATGGCTCTATGCTGCCATCTGTCTGTTCTGCAGCTGGGAGTTAACAATACACCATTAATGTTATGTACCAAATTGCAGCTATTTTTTGTGCTTCTGAAGGGCTGTTAAGACTTCTGTTTATTATTTTATCCCATTTTAACGCAGGTTTTTGGTCTGCTTTGGCTCTTTGTGGGAAAGTAAATTGCAAGGCTGAAAGGTTTGACATCTCTAAACAGGTAATTTTTTCTCTCCAAAACAGTGTCATTTTTATAATTTTTATAGAAATGCAAGAACTGAATTAATGTTGTCTGTGATATCTGTCATTCTCACAACAAGTATTGTGTCACCAAATTCAACAAATTTGATACCAAATTTGTGTACCACCAAAATCAACATACTATGAAATGTTAATTCAAGCCAAAGCCAGTGATGTACTTGTTATTAACTCATTTATTGTGAACATCTTAAGACTGAATTGGGAGTGACTAGCAACCTACCAATTCTGTATATTAAAGACTATTACACATTATTTTTATGACAAAGATTGTAAAGCAAGGAAGAAATTGCATGTTGTAGTTTAAACCCAGCTGGAAACTAAGTACTGTGCAAATGCTCACTCACTCCCCTCCATGCATGCCTGCCTTGTGGGGAACAAAATTGGGGGAAAAAAGCAACCACCAAAACAAATGTGTTTAGTGTTGTCAAAATTGTTTTCATATTAAATTGGAAGCACGGCATTGAACCAGCTACTGTGAAAAAAATTAAGTCTATCCCAGCTGAAACTCAGAAATGGAACAATATTAATTTATCATTTTCTCATAATATAGTGAGATTGGTACTGCAAGTTTTATACATTTATTCAATTTTTTTGCAGATGTTAACATTTGAATCTTGCTTAGGTGCCATTTTGTCCATTTGAAGTTACAGTGCATGACCAAAGTACATGACCAAGTACACACTGAATACAAAATACTTTGTATAGCTCACATCACATCCATGTGTTGACCATGTCAACAGTAAGAAACAATTTGATAATTTCATACTAGAAAAATATATAATTTGCCAAATTTTGAAGTTTGTAAATTTCAACCTTGAAATTGTCCATGTTGTCTTTAATATTTATTACTTGTAATTGTACTGTTCAGTTTGTACAGGTTGTCAAAGCACCTGGATCACTACTGGTTTAGAAGAAGGTCATTTATAGAATGTAGGACTAATTATAGTAGGTTTGTTGTTGTTGTTGTTGAATATCTTTTTTTTTTTTTCTTTCCAAGTAGATCATGTTCCTTGTATTTCCAATATAGGCATTATGAAAAATTCACAACAGAGACCCTGGGAAAATGTTATTCAAAACAGACTTAAATAGTGTAATTTTAAGTAATTTTTTTACAAACCATATTTTTAGTGGTACTCACCCAGTAACTCTGTCTCAGTGTATTTTTTCATGAAAATCATGTGCAAAGTATTTCTTTCCTAGTTAGAGCTTGATTCAGAATGCTGTACCTCTAGCAATAATAGCTGGAGCAGTCGCTTGAGTGCCTTCAATGTTTAAACAGCTGCACAGTCAATTTCACTCAGTATAAAAGTATCCATCATCAGCTGGTCCATTTTGGTTAAACAGACAGTGGATGTTACTCAGCCTAAATAGCTGGGAGGGTAAATCACATAATCAAAATGTGATTCTAAATAATATGGCTCATCTGAAACTGTTTGATCCTGTCTTCTGAAGTCATTTAAAAAAAAAAAAAAAGATGATTATATTGTATTTATCAAAGCCACTGGGAGTTGTACTACTTTCTGAGGAGATTGCATGTTTTTCCTTTGTTCCAGGTCTTATTTGGATAAAATTGCACTTTCTGCTCAGTGGATTCTGCATGTAGCACTAATTAAAGTTACTGTCAAAACTCAAGGATATGCCCAGCATAGAATTCTGAATAAGAACTTCTAGTGCGTGAAGGATTCCTGCTGCCATGATCTCTGTGAAGATTCTTGCATCCTTAGCCTTGTCTTTGTCTGTTCTTCATTTCTAGGTTGCCTTCCTCACAACATCTGTCTAAGCACTCTTGTTCATTATGAGGTTGTAGTTGTCAATGCAGTTTAGGGATCACAGCTGTACTAAGATATCAATAGTGGATTTCTTGGTTTTTTCCTAGGGTCAGAAACTCTGCTAGTAGATTTTCATAAGTGATAGTAATTAAATCAGTAGAAAGAGTTACAAAGATGAAATGAAATGAAATGAAATGAAATGAAATGAAATGAAATGAAATGAAATGAAATGAAATGAAATGAAATGAAATGAAATGAAACAAGACAGACTTAATTTCATACCCATGGGGAGTTTCACAATTTCTGGGTTTTCTTTTTGATTCAGAGTGAAAACCTTCCCAGCAGAATGAAATTTGAAAAGTCTGACCAGATCTATTTTGAAGTCATCTTGAACTGTGTTCTCTAAAAGGATTCCAATTACATGTATTTTTTTTCCTCCTCATATCTTCTGTTTCCTACCAAAAAAGTTTGTGTATTATTCTTTAACCTTAATTCCAGTCTTCCTTCTGATTTGTCCCCTCAAACTTGCTCCACAGAGTTTTGCTCCTGCCTAAGTACTGCAACTTCTTGTTTCTTTCATGATGCAGTCAACTACTCATGTTATATTGAAACATGATGAGTAAATGGTACTGTTGAAGGTTCTTATAAATGTGTATAATTTTATCTGTGAAAATAATGCAATTTCACGGATCAGAAATTTATCTTCTAGTACCAGGAATGCTCTGATTTGTGTGTGATGGAAGTCCACAGAACAGATCAAAGTGCTATTTTGTTCAGAATGCTTGAATGCACAAGAAAAGATAAAAAATAGAAAAAGGATCTGTTTTCAGCTAAATGTATTTCAGCAATCATAATCCTTTGATATTAATCTGGATGCTCAGGCTCTCCAGCAACAGAACAATCCCCTTTGAGGATCTAACTGTCCTCATAACTCATAAATGCTCCATTTATTTTTGTTTGCTGCCCTTGCTAGAAAGAAAATTCCTGCTGGAGAGGGACTGCTAGGAAACAGTGTCTCATTAAGTTTCCCCAAGATTTTCATCTTGCAGTTACTAGTGGAAAACTCAGAACAGCTCACAACTCTCCTACACACAAGCCTTTAAAAGTGTAATCCATTTAGAAAACAGACTTGGTTGCTCCTGTTTTTGTTAGTGTGGGAACTCTCTTTGTCTCATGACCCGTGAGTCTGCTTTCCATCTATTCTAGTATGCTTCTCTCTGAAAGTGTGAGACCAATTTAATAGTAAATGAGTGTTCTTGTCAGGCTTTGCAGTTGCTGAGCACTCCTAAAAGCAAGGCAAGATGCTGTACAGAGGAAAGTTTAGGTCTGTTGTATGGAGTACTGTTATATGTAGTACTCTGGCCTGATAATATTGGATGGGCTGGAATAATTAGTGCAACAAACAAACAAAAATATCTCAGCTGTACTTTAACCTTACTGGAACCAGAACTGTTGTACCATCAATGTGAGTTATCTGGTGGTGTGATAAGAATAAAAGGTCATGTCAATATGGAATATGGTATAACTGACAGGCACTTAAAAGAAGATGAAATTCACATTTGGCAGATGCTATTAGTAAGGCCTCACAGGCACCATTTAGCCAATGCCCTGTCATATGGCTTTCTGTCCTACTGCCTGAACTGAGTAAAACTAAGTGAGAATTTTGAATGTTCAGTGCTGGAGAGAGGAAGGGTATAGGCCAAGATAGGGGCTATGGCTTCCCTGTCTTAATTCTCTCACATTCCTCCAAATTCAAATTTTATAGCAGTCCTTTCAACTTACCTGTCAAATTCCTGTTATTATTATCTTTCATGTTTGTATAGATAAGGTGTGTAATCCACCTCTGCTGCTTGAAAATAAGATGCTACTCATCTCTGGGTAAGTAGGTCAAATCCATCTTTTTGTGATTGCTGACAGTGTCCTTATGGCCCTGGTTGTACTCCTGTCAGCTGTAATGCACATGTGGAAGCACTCAAGGTAACATTAAAGATAGATGGGATAATTGCTGCAGCCTGCTGCTGCACTGAGATGTAGTGCTGGTGCCTCAGGTTTTAGATTTTGTATTTCTCAGATTCTGTGCGGCTTTAGCGTGTGGGTTTGGGCTTCATATAAGGGGATAGTAACTTCACAGAATAGGTAGACAAAACAATTCCTTCTCTAGCTGGGGACACATAGACAATTGATGGAAGTCTCAGGCCCAAAAGCATAAACAGTGGTGGACTGAAGAGAGGAAAACAAGAAGGATGGAATTTCATGGACTGGAGCTGTAACTGGACAATTAGCTCCAATATGTTAATTGACCCAAACTTATAAAAGTGTGACTGGTCTTCCATTTGGTAACCATTTTGGGTTCACCTGGGGTGTAGCCCTGGCTGGGCTCCTGTGCTGCCCAAGGTGGATCTGTTGAGGCCTCCTAATAAATGCCTACTTTATTCTTTAACTTCATCTAGTCTCTGCTCTAGGTCAACCTTCACAAGGCATCAGTGCCACTGCCTTTTCAGTGCAGGTCAGCTTCCAGTGGGCACGCAAGGCATTGTTACCATTTCTGCCTTTGATCTGAGGTTTGAATGAGTATTGAGGCTGAGCTATCTGTCTGCCCAAGGTTCCCCCTTATCCTGGAGATAAGGAAAGCTTGCTTTGCTGTAAATCACAGTTTTCCATCTTCAGGAAAATCAGTGCAATGTCTTGCAAGACAAGAGCTCTGTGGAAGTACATGAAGTAAATGCACTTCATGAAAGGACAGGAAGTAAATGAAGTACATTATCAATTGCTGGTTTTTGCCTCATGGGTAACCTAAGTGTTTTGCACATTCTTGAGGAAAACGGAAAAAATCCGACACTGAGTAACAAATAGTTTGTTTCATATTTATAGTAATAGGAGTTGTAACTTTCTTAGGCTACTAGTATTTTTGTCCTTTTAATGTAAATACTGTATTGCACATGTGGTTGTCTACCAGGTGTTAATGGTCATATTTTTTAACAAAGGTGTAACAAAGATGATGGTGGAAACAAAATACACAGAAGGAAACAAAACACAGAGTGTCATCTGTTACAAATTTTTGAGTCTCAGGTATCAATTCCTGCTGGTCTTATCACAGATATATTTTCCTATTTTAAATACTCCTAAAATACTCAAGGTTCCCTAAAACTTACTTATTTTTGATGCTGGAAGAAGAGCCGCAGCTAGTTCTTTTTTTATTCCTATAGCAAGAGGGAAACTTATCAAGGAATCTAGAAAGGGTGATGGTCTTAGAATTATAAATAGTAGTATAATAAATATTATTAGTATATAAATACCATTTCTCTCTACCATATATGTTTGCAAATAGTTCTCATTTTCACTTCTATTTGATTTGGGCCATTTAAATATCTGTGTGCACCTTGGTTTGGTGAAAGCAGAATGTGGAAAAGAAATCAGGCTAAATAAATATTGTGACAGAGAAAAGTAATTAACAGTACTCTGCTAAAAAAACGTGAGAAAAGGTAAAGCAAGCATCTAAAGAAATAGTTACCCAGTTTAATACATTAGAACATTAATTTTCTTTCGTTTGACACATTTTCTGGCAGCAAATGGCAGCATTTGGAATTAATAATCCTTAATAGGGTATTAGCTTGGATGAAAATAATTTTCCATTAAAAATTAGTGATTATATTCCTGAAATTCATCAGAGACAACCTGCATCCTCTGGAAACAATACAAAATAATCTCTGACACTAAAAGTTATGATTAAAAATTAATGAACAGTTCAAGATCAAGTCACTGAACTTCATTCCTATGTAAAAACATTTTTTGATACATTTACTATTCTATTCACATGTTTAAAGTTTTCTGTTAATTATGTCTGTGACTTAAGGCAAGGAAATGACTGTAATTTTTTAAATTTTCTTCTTTAATCAGTGATGTTTTCTTTGAACTATTGCTATTCAACAGAAGTGAACCAGGGAGTGATTAAGCAAGGTTCCCCTTGGTATTTCATAGAAATGGCAGAAGTCTCTTCTCAAAAGTTAGCTACAGTACATAAATCAGGAGTAATCATGTAGTTCTTAGTGCAACTACATCTGTAAATAAGATGAGATTCGAAATATATAGGGAAATAGACAATGCAATGGCAAGAGATCATACTTCATTTTAGGGAAAGAAACAGAGGAGTGATGCAGTATCTATGTAGGTCTCTCTAACAACAAAATCAGAAATCAGAACATTTTGAGATTCAACAAAAGCAAATGCAGGGCCCTGCACCTGGAGAGGAATAACCCCGTGCATCAGCAGGGGCTGGGGGCTGACTGCTGGAGAGCAGCTCTGAGGAGGACAAAAGCTGCCGTGAGCCGGGCCCTCGTGGCCAGGAGGTCAGTGTGTCCCGGGGCACCAGGGAGAGCCCTGCCAGCAGGGAGAGAGCCCATCCTGCCCCTCTGCTCGGCCCTGCTGAGCTGAAGTGCCGTGTCCAGCTCTGGGCTCCTCAGAGCAGAGGGACGTGGAGGCTCTGCAGTGGGTCCAGGAAAGGGCCGCAGAGGTGAGCAGGGGTCTGGGCACCTCACTCAAGGAAAGGCTGAGGAAGCCGGGCCTGTTCAGCCTGAACAAGACTGAGGGGAGCCTCATCAACGTCAGCAAGTGTCTGAAGGGAGGCTGTCAGGAGGATCCAAGCCCTGCTTGGCACTTCCCATGAGTAAGACAGGAGGCAATGGGCAGAAACTAATCAGAGGAAGTTCCACCTGAGCACAAGGATAAACTTCACTGTGAGGGTGACTGCGCACTGGAACAGGTTGCCCAGAGAGATTGTGTAGCCTCCTTCTCTAGAGATATTTGAAAGCTGTCTGGACACAATCCTGTAATGTGTTCTGGGGCACCCGGCTTGAGCAGGCAGGTTGGACTGGATGACTGCCAGTGCCCCTTCCAGCCTTACCCATTCTGTGATCCACAGTAGACTTGGCAATGTGTTTTGCTACAAAGAAATAGCACATTTTGTCTTACCTTCAGTGTTACATATAGAAAATGCTGGTAAATACTTTCCACAGAATCCTAGTCACAGAATTGTAGAATGGTTTGCACTGGAAGGGACCTTTAAGATCATACAGCTCCAGCCTCCCTGCCATGGGCAGGGGCACCTCTCCTTGACCAGGTCAGAGCCCCATCCAGCCTGGCCTTGAACACTGCCAGGGATGGCATTTTGTAACTTTTTCTCTGACTATAGTCTCCAGAGGGTTTTCTTCCCTCCTGAAGCTTTTAGACAGGCCTTTCTTAAAATACGTTCTGCTGCTAGGGGAGGGTGCCCTCCTACGGAGGCTGTGAGCACAGTCTGGTGATTCCAGGGTGATTCAGTGTGCCTAGTAGACTTGCTTTATTTTGCAACACAGCACAGTGGGCACAGTAATTCAGTGTGCCTAGT